AGCAGGCCAGGGTTCAGATTTGGATCCCAGGTTCAGATCCCAGGTGCTGACCTGAGCACTGCTTGTCAAGCCGTGCTGTAGCAGGTGTCCCACATATAAAGTAGAGGAAGATGGGCATGGATGTTAGCTCAGGGCCAGTTTTCCTTAGCAAAAAGAGGAGGATTGGTGGCAGATGTTAGCTCAGGGCTAATCTTCCTCAAAAAAAAAAAACCTAAAGAATTCACCAAAAATCTTTTAGAAATAATAAATGAATATGGTAAAGTTGCAGGATACAAAAATCAGTTGTGTTTCTATACATTAACAGTGAAGTAGCAGAAAAAGAAATTAAGAATACAATCCCATTTACAATTGCAACAAAAAGAATAAGATACCTAGGAATAAACTTAAGAGTTGAAAGATCTATACACTGAAAACTACAAAATATTGTTGAAATAAATTGAAGAAGGCACAAAGAAATAGAAATATATTCCATGCTCTTGGATTGGAAGAATTAACATAGTTAAAATGTCCACACTTCCTTAGCAATCTACAGATCCGACGCAATCCCAGTCAAAGTTCCAATGACATTTTTCACAGAAATAGAACAAAGAATCCTAAAGTTTATATGGAACAACAAAACACCCCAAATAGCCAAAGGAATCCTGAGAAAGAAGAACAAAGCTGGAGGCATCACACTCCCTGATTTCAAAATGTATTACAAAGCCATATAATCAAAACAGCATGGCCCTGGCACAAAAACAGACACATAGATCAATGCAACAGAACTGAGAGCCCAGAAATAAACCCACACATCTATGGACAGCTAATTTTCAACAAGAGAGCCAAGAACATACAATGGAGGGAGGAAAGTCTCTTCAATAAATGATGTTGGGAAAACTGGACAGCCACATGCAAAAGAATGAAAGTAGACCATTATCTTACGCCATACACAAAAGTTAACTCAAAATGGATTAAAGACTTGAATGTAAGACCTGAAGTCATGAAACTTCTAGAAGAAAACATAGGCAGTATGTTCTTCAACATCCGTCTTAGCAGCATATTTTCAAGTACTATGTCTGACCAGGCAAGCGAAACAATAGAAAAAATAAACAGATGGGCCTACATCAAACTAAAAAGCTTCTGCATGGCAAAGGAAACCGTCAACAAAATGAAAAGATAACCTAACAATTGCGAGAAATATTCACAAACCGTATATCTGATAATGGGTTAATACCCCAAATATACAAAGAACTCATACATCTCAACAACAAAAAAATTAATAACCCAATTAAAAAATGGGTAAAAGATCTGAATAGAAATTTCTCCAAAGAAGATAAACAGATAGCCAACAGGCATGTGAAAGGACATTCAACATCATTAAATATCAGGGAAATGCAAATCAAAACTACAATGAAATATCACCTCATTCCCATCAGAATGGCCATAATTAACAATACAGGAAACAGCAAGTGTTGGAGAGGATGTGGAGAGAATGGAACTCTCATACACTGCTGATGGGAGTGCAAACTGGTGCAGCCACTACGGAAAACAGTATGAAGATTCCTCAAAAAATTAAGAATATAACTACCGTATGATCCAGCTATTCCACTGCTGGGTATTTATCCAAAGAACATGAAAACATGAATGTGTAAAGATATATGCACCTCTATGTTCATTGCAGCATTATTCACAATAGCCAAGACTTGGAAGCAACCAAGGTGCCCATAAAGGGATGGATGAATTATGAAGATGTGGTATATATGCACAATGTAATACTACTCAGCCATAGAAAACGGTTAAATCTGGCCATTTGTGACAACATGGATGGACCTTGAGGGTATTATTCTAAGCGAAATAAGTCAGAGGGAGAAAGCCCAATACCGTATGATCTTACTCATAAATAGAAGATAAAAACAACAACAAACAAACGCATAGAGACAGAGATTGGATTGGTAGTTACCAGAGGGGAAGGGGGAGGGAGGAGGGCGAAAGAGGTGACTAGACACATGTGTGTGGTGATGAATGGCAATTAGATTTTGGGTGGTGAACATTACGTAATCTACACAGAAATCAAAATATAATGATGTACACCCAAAATTTATATAATATTATAAACCAATGTTACTGCAATGAAAAAAATTTTAAAAAGAGAGAAAAGCTTGCTATTTAGGTATATAAATATTTTGCCCAACAGTGAAGAAGGTAACTGTGATGCTGTTTTGATGGTAAAAATAAAAAAGAACTCTTGCTCAGCTATCAATAAGCAAAGAAAAAGGAAAAGTGAAAAAATAACATTAGTTGAAATACAAATTTATTTCTTATCAAAAAGAGCAGGAGCTGGTAGATAAACCTGCTAGGCAGACTGAAGTTATATTTCTTCTAAGGCAATGGTTGAATACATTAAAAAAGAAATATGAAACATTTGCAACAACACTGCATTCTACCATGCTTAAAGTGCTAATGATATCCACTCCTGTGTAAGGAAACAAGGCACTATTTTTAGATGATTTACAACATAATTAGCTATCACGTAAGACTTTTTTAGGGAACTTAGAAGGAAATGCAAAGTAATTTTTTTGTTGATTAAAATTAAAGAAATCAGATTGTTCGTGTCATTCAAGAGAAAATTCCTACCTCAGTTCACCAACAAAGAATGAACCAAAGCTTTGAGGTTGAAGTTCTCATGAATGCAAACACAGTATTCTGCAAGGGCATTAACCATAGTTGCATGAACTATGATTTTCAAGATATAATGTGTCCTAATTTCCTACACTGGAGCTGGTTCCCAGAAATGAGAGTGATGATCTAAGCAGCTACATCCCTAGAATTGCGGAGTTGAAGAATGGTTTTCAGGAAAGATTCTCTGGTTTAAAACTTGAGGAAAATGAACTAACATTGTTCAATTAATATTAATAGTGTGAGCTTGAAGATCTAAAAACTCAAGTGGTTGAATTGCAGTGCAATACAATACCGAAAACCTACTAGGAAGCTGTTGGAGAACAACATTTATTATAAATATCTCTGAAATAACCTTAAATAAAAAAATCATGGATTCTTTTCATGTTCAGAAGTACCAATGTTTGTGAATTACTATTTTTCCTTTTAAATAAAGCTGACTTTTGCTTCCAGTTAAAGAATCCAAGGCAAAAAATCTATAATAAGCACAAGACCTGAGACTGTGGACTTAAACAAAACAGCTAGTTATTTTACCATCAAAATGGGTTTATTTTGGAATAGGAGAGGAATTGCAATTCAGGACAAGCAAGCTATAGCAAAAGCCATACGCAAGTCCAGCAAACAAACGAGAAGAACGTTACTTTATGGAGAAAAAGGAGGAAGTTGGGAGGGGTTGTTTTGAATGAAAATCCATTGTTGGAAAGTGAGAGTTCAGGGTGGTGATGATTTCTCATTGGCTGAGTTGCTGGGCAAGGAGGAAATCTTCCTTCTGCTGAGGGTAGTTAAACTGATGATTCTTCCTGTTGGGGTCTGTAATTGATGTGGAGTAGTAGTGTGCGAGGGCTCTCCCTTCTGGACTTCTGACTTCATTTTAAATGAGTTTTCCTTTATTGTCTTTCACATTTTCCCTTTTTCATCAAGATCTTTCTTCAAAAGCATTGTTGATCAACAGTCAGGAGTATGGATGTTTTTGGGTGGGGAGTGAAGTTTTCTCTCACCCTGTTCCACCTCTTCTGAGGGGGGCTCCAGCCTCTCTGCCCTCTGTTGTATGGCTGCACGTCTCTCTCTGACATTAAATCTGTCTTGTGTTTGGATGTCCTTTGTTGGAGTTTGTTTTTTCATTGTATGTCAGAGGGGGAAGATTACTGGGAAAGTTCACTCCACCATGATGCTTATGTCACTCCATGATTACTCCCATTTTTATCAAAGATAATCATAGTAAATATCTGAGTCTGTATATATCTCTTTCGAATATGACATCCTGGTCAAATGCTTGATAATATAGCTAATCCTTCCAATTGTGTCCTGCTCTAAGAAGAACAGATTCTCATTGAATTTATGGAAATACATATATTGTCATGAAAGGAATACTTAAGAGTTTCTGAATTCTGGAAAGATCAGGTAGGGAGACAAAGACAAATGTTTTAACCTTTGTTGCAAATATACATTTTCTCATAGAGGAGAAAAGAAGGTCCTTTAAATGCAGCTCAGTGTGATGATCTTAAAGTTATCAAACACCTGCATTCTAGAGTATTTTTCAATGAATTTCTCTGCAGATAAAACATATTTGTAAAAGCACCAGAGTAAAATAATAACTCTGTAAATGACAAAAAATTAAAAATAGCAATGGTTAAAGATCTGGTGAAAGTTCATTATAACATAATCAACAAGTAAATTTGGTCACTTCTGTGACATACATTCTAAAACTATGACTAATAACATTATACCAGGAAATATCAGAATTTTAGGAATTTTCATACAATCTCTAGAACATTTATTTTAACAACATTCACCTATATAATATAACGTAAGAAGGTTTATCATCATTTATTTGATGATGCTTTCCATGTAATTTGACATATCAAATAAGTCCAATTAGTTCAACATTTCCCTTTTTATAGGAAGAGAGAACAAATCCTTTGAGAAGTCCCAGGCACCGTCTGGAAATTCCCAAAGTTATTTTCAGGTCAAAAAGACTTTATTTAGAATTTGATTTTTGGGAAGTTTGTCAAAAATGTCAAAAGGCTTTGGACATAAGACCAAATAGGATCACAGAAAATTATGAAACAATATTTAATTATCCATTTAACCAGTAACAAAAGGATTTCAAAGACAAATATAGAAGGTTACATAGCTGCAAAACCTTAGCACTTTTTAATAGAAAAGACTCAGCCTTTAAAATAAAGCACAGGAGGGGCTGGCCCCGTGGCTGAGCGGTTAAGTTCGCGCGCTCCGCTGCAGGCAGCCCAGTGTTTCGTTGGTTCGAATCCTGGGCATGGACATGGCACTGCTCATCAGACCACACTGAGGCAGCGTCCCACATGCCACAACTAGAAGGACCCACAATGAAGAATATACAACTGTGTACAGGGGGGCTTTGGGGAGAAAAAGGAAAAAATAAAATCTTTAAAATAAAGCACAGGAAATAATTTTGATATAACAGAAAACTAGGGAAAAACCTCTTACAGCCTCTCATCAGGAGGGGACCAACAGCAGAAGCGGACCTTGTCCTGTTAACAGATGAAAGAAAGCTAAGTTCCAGCTTTACATAAATACACTATTAATATTAAAGCTTATTTTAAAACCCTTATAGCAATTTTGTTTATTCTTATCCAGATGGATCACATATAAAGTTTCTTTCCAAAGATTTCTGTTTCACAAACCTTCTACAACTTTCTTCTCACATTCAGATTTCATCCTATCCTTTCTTTTCTTATTCTGGCCACCATTTTACTTTAGGACAAAATTAATTTCTTTTTCTTCAACAAAAAGGTATCCCCATACCTCATATGTTTTTCTAACTAACACACATCCTACTTTCTTTCATACAGAGATATTTCCTTATCATTACTAGTAGCTTTAATCACATATGTTAATTAGAATTCTTAACCCTTAGGATCCTTGATTCCTAGTGAAAACTAAGTAAGCAATTTTGGAATAGAAAATTTATAAATACATTTCATAATTTCTAGAATCATATGCCCTTTAAAATAGTGCAATCTTTCAATGTGGCACAAGATATAGTTACTAACAGACTCAATTTTTTCTTTGGTTTCTCTACAATAGGAAGCCAAAAGTACACAGATGTAAGTTTAGTAATTAATGTTTTAGTATTGTACCTTGTTTGGAGAATGATCCAGATATTCAATGAAATTCCGTCATTTAATTTAACTTAGCAGAAACTCTAAAGCTTTAAGTTACCCAAAAAGATTTGGAGATGCTATTTTTTTAAGCATACATACAATAAAACATAATTATTGCACCTAAAACTCTTATCCCATTTTCATCTATCTAAATAATTTGTTCCCAGCAATTATGTTTAGATTATTCATGAAACTTCATGAGACATTAGACAAAGTCAGCCATCATCTCAAGAGAATCTTTTTTTTTGGCTGATAAATTTTGCACCAGAAATAACATGCACTTATTTGACTAGTAAACCCAGGTAGAATAAAAATATAATATTTAATGCTGATAACTCTAGAGACATGCCTGTTTCAATTAAACCAACAAACTTAAACTAGCTTTAATTATGATATTTTTCCAGATCACGTGAACCTGAAAAGCATTTGGGTTAGTTTCTATTATATCCTGAGAAATTTTTTTTAGGAATACTTAATTTATATAAACATTTGATTTTCCTTAAGCTAATTAAATAAAACTCTTTTATAAACTAATTTTGTCAATACCATCCACAGGTAGAAAAATAGCACAAAACTATAACATACATACATGGACATACATAACATACAGATAAACACAGAGATCTTATAGCCTTATTTTAAAATTTTGGCCATATCCCATGTGAAAAACTCCTAAGAATTTTCTAGCAGATGGACTAAGTTACCTGCTCAGGTGGCCAAACGTTTTTTTAAATTTTACCAAATGTTTTTTATTTGCATGCTGTAAGGATTCTTTTAGAGCTGTTTTTGAAGTCATTTTGCCTTGTAGAAACTTCTGCCTCTAGATTACTTTTGGTTAAGTTGGTTCATTTAGTTAGAAATGTACATGAGGATGCACCACAGTTTTTAAACATAAAACCAGCTAGGGCCCTTGAAGCGGGGGTAGGGGGAGCGGCCCTCAAAGCATTTAGATGCCTGGGATCTCCTTTTTCAGAGGTTTTTCTCTAGAGCAAAAGAAAAATTCCTAAAGCCTGATTCAAAGGAATCATGGCAAATGCTAGCCCACTTACAATTGGCCTAATTATACCAACAAGTACTCACGGAAAGGACAAAGCCCTTATAGAGAAGGGACAAAGTCTGTATAAAACAGATACCAAATCAAGCCAGAGAACTCAAAATGCAAAGAGAGGGGAGATCAAATCTAGAAGAAAACTTACACCCAAACTCCAGGGTCGGCAAGAAAGCAGAAAGCTCAATGGCTCTGTGGGTACTAGTACCTATTTGCTCACCAGCCTCAGAGTTGTTGGGGGTTTTCTCTGGATCCCACTTCTGATGACCATGTAATGTTGACCTAAACAAATAAAACAGCCAGTTATTTTACCAGCAAAATGGGTTTATTTGGGAATAGCAGAGTAATTGCAATTCAGGACAAGCAAGCTATAGCAAAAGCCATAGGCATGTCCAGCAAATGAATGAGAACCACACTGCTTTATAGAGAAAAAGGAGGAAGTTGGGAGGGGTTGTTTTGAATGATAATCCATTGGAGGAAAGTGAGAGTTCAGGGTGGTGATGGTTTCTCATTGGCTGAGTTGCTGGGCAAGGAGGAAATCTTCCTTCCTCCTGCTGGGGAAGTAACTGACAACTTCCTGTTGGGATCTGTAATTGACCTCTTCCTGTTTGGGGTCTGTAATTGATGTGGAGTAGTAGTGTGTGAAGCTCCCCCTTCTGGCCTCCTGACCCCATTTTAAATAAAGTTTTTTGAATTCTGTTTCACAAGACTGACAGCTAGAAACAGAAGGAGAGGTACCAAATTTCCGGTTCTAAATTAAAGAAGTAGTGAATTATCAGGTAATGTAATAATTGAGATACTTTTATTTTTCAGAATCATGTTTAAAATATCTTCAACATAATACACATGTAATAATATCTTCCACATATGTGAGTATGTAAGCATATTTCCTGTGTGTTTACTGCTCCTGCTGCTCTTTCTAATCTCTGCTTTTTCCTTCTTCTCACTGCCCAAATCAATAGACCCAGCCCACTTGCTTTAGAAGCACACTTGTAAAGCAAAATTTTCCATATCCAGAAACTAGACAAGACTCAGACTGGGGAAGAGGATGGAGCTGTGAAAAGAGAGACTAGGACAAGGGACGAGGGGAAATAGAGGAGAACCTGAGTCCTGGCAAGGAAGGGAAGAGAGAGAGTCCATCACAAGTGCCAGGGAACCGTGTGGAAGGGACTCTATGCCCAGATTGAATAGAATGAAGACCATCAGCAGCCAGCTCACAAACCAACCACCTTCCAACAGTACTTACAATGGACTGAATGTTTGTGTCCCCCCAAATTCATATGTTGAAATCTTAACCCCTAATATGGTGGTATTAGGAGGTGGGGCCTTTGCGAAGGAATTAGGTCATGAGGGTGGAGCCCTCAAGAATGGGATTAGTGCCCTTATAAAAGGGATGCCAGGGAGTGCTCCTGCCGTCTTTTTGCCATGTGGGGATACAAGGAGAAGCTGGCAGTCTGCAACCCAGAAGAGGGCCCTCACCAGAACCTAACCATGATGGCACCCTAATCTTGGGCTTTCAGCCTCTAGAACTGTGGGAAATAATTTTCTGTTATTTATAAGCCACTCAGTCTATGGTATTTTTTTACAGCTACCCAAAGAGACTAACACAGTACCTGAGGGCAAAGAAAGCTGCCAGAACAAGAGTAGGGGTGAGGGTGGGAGTGAGGGTAGTTTCCTGAAGAAGGAGTCTCACCCTGAACAAAGATGGCACAGACTAATTTGAAATTCCTATAGGAGCCCAGCAGAAATAGACACATTACTCCTACTTTAACATGTGACTGTGATATGGGGCATGCTTCCACCACAGTTTAGTAAAAATAAAGAAAACGTGACTATAATTCTGTTGGTTGATGATTTTTCTTACATCTCAGCCCCTCTTCTCATTTATGTTGCCTGTCTGGCCTCTGCTCTGGGCCTCAGTACTTCAACCAAGAGCAGTCAGGAGGAACATCATGCACATTGCTGAGGGGTACAACCTCTAGTCTATAGTAAGAGTCTTGGCTGTAGTGCATCCACATACTCGGGATTATTTTTGCTGATTTGAACTTAACTATTTTTAGCCATGCATTGCCGCTTAAATTATACCATGTGTTTAAAGGAAATTGCTTCTTATAGATATATGCTCTTTAGAAGCTGGGCACACTTTAAATGATCTTGAATCCGATCTTTAAATTAGTTTTTGCAATTCTATCATTTTGTTTGACCTTTTATATTAAAAAAATAAAATTACTTTTCAATGGCAAAAAATTAAAGAAAAAATAGTATGAGGAATGGTATTATTAGAGATATGATAGTAATGCCAAAAAGACTAAAATCAAATAATTAATAGTAGTTGTCTCTGGAGACGAGAGTCAAGGGAGGGAGAAGTGAGGCAGAAGACGACTACATTTTTATTGTGAGCCCTTCCCTACTATTTTTAAAAACTTTGATAAAATGGTGATTCGATGGACCTATCATAACATATCTTCAATTGTTGATTTTATTTAATAAGGAAATAAATAATTTTCTACTCTCTTAAATTTTCAGAAAAAAAGAAAGAAAACATCTTTCCAAATTTGGGATTCAGTGTTAAAAGTTAATCTATAAATATTATACATACTGTATTTAACTTTAACAAATAATAATATAGTATATAGATAATAATAGAGATTATCATATATTTCATTAAATTATATATTTAACCCTAATTGATAATATAAATATAATATCTATTTAATAAGTATATTTTCTAAGAGAATTTTTATTCTTAAAAGTTTATTTTAAATATCTGACTTTAAAGACTGCTTGTTTAGTATTAACTAAGTTTGAGTGGAGGAAACATTTTCCATTGTTAAGAGTGTGGTGGAGAGTAATAGACTGGTAGGAATGCTTCTTTGGAATTTGTTTAAATAGAAAAACATTCTCAGGTGGACAAAGGGGTCTGAGAGGTTCTTACTCAAGAAACTCTTTTAATACAAAATTGTAAACTCACTTGATCAGAATTTAGTGCAAATTTTTTTTCTCATGTTAATACTTACTAGCATTCATGGGATATTTACCATGTGCCTGACATTGTGCTATACACATGACACGCACTGAATAATTACATGCGATTACGTACATTTTATGTGAACCCTCACCTCAATGCTCTTATTTTATCTCCATTTCACAGATGATGAAAAGGAAGATGAGAGACACCAAGAAACTTGATTAAGGATCCAGAAGTGGTGTCAGTGGTGAAACCAGAATGTAACATTTGGTCCTATCTGGCTCCAGTGCCCATGTGCTGTCTCCTTGCCTGTGGTCACTAGGATTTGATCTGTGGAGGACAAGCCAGGTGGATCTTAAGTTTGCCTTAGTTCCCCATGTAATTTGGCTTTCCCCACTGCCCCACACCAATCACCCTTTTAAATTACTTGAGCAAAAATCTAGTCTTATTCCTCTTTATTTTGTAAGTGCTTAGCACAGAACAATAACAATTACAATGATAAGCTAAGCTTATTAAGTTCCTATTAGATGCCAGGTGTGATACAAGACACAGACATTATCATTTAATAGGGCTTTGATAAACGTGTTGAACTGACTGTGGGCTGGCAGTCACCCTTCCCATGGTTTTAGCTGTGTGCCTCTCTCCTGGTGCTCAGTGTCTGGCAATCGCTGTCCTGTGATTTTGCCAACTGAAATGAAACTTTATTTTTTTTGAGGAAGACTGGCCCTGAGCTAACACCTGTGCCCATCTTCCTCTACTTTATATGTGGGACGCTGCCACAGCATGGTGTGCCAAGTGGTGCCATGTCCTCACCTGGGATCTGAACTGGCAAACCCCAGGCCGCTGAAGCGGAACGTGCGCACTTAACCGCTGTGTCACCGGGCCGGCCCCATGAAATAAACCTTTCTTCTTCCTCCAGTAGGTCGTCTAATAGGTGGAACACAAATATTTCCCAGACTATGTTTCTGCCCCTATTTGTGGCTTTTACTATGAGGACTGTACGTTGCAGCATGTATTATGTGCAAATACCTTTCTGCCTAATTGTTTTCTGAGTACTGCAATCCCTGGATCAATATAGAAAGAAAGGATCTGATCGATCTAATACTTTCACGCAAGAAATATTCACTGGAAAGTATGAGTTAAGCATTATAATAGGCTCTCAGGGACACAAGGTGAATAAGACAGGCATATTGCAAAGGAGGGTTTTATTTTTTATTTTTATTTATTTTTTTGTGAGGAAGATTGGCCCTGAGCTAACATCTGTTGCCAATTTACTCTTTTTGCTTGAGGAAGATGGTCCCTGAGCTCATATCCATGCCAGTCCTCTACTTTGCATATGGGACACCGCCACAGCATGGTTTGATGAGCAGTGTGTAGGTTCACGCCTGGGATCCAAACCTGCGAACCCCAGGCCACCAAAGTGGAGAGCATGAACTTAACCACTACACCAATGGGCCAGCCCCTGCAAGGGGTGATTTTAAACAAAAGAAAATTGATGGGGGTGGCAGTAGGGAAAGTGGGGAAAGCACAATGGCTGCCTCAAAAATCAGTGCCCACCAATGGCCAATAGACTTTGAATTTCTGAAATGGTGAACAAGACAGTGGAGAAAAATGAAAGACATTCTCTCTGTTAAAGCAGGCTGGTTTGTTCAGTTTCCACAGCACATAACAGGTTCTCCCCCAGTTGCGCTTACAGTCTGTTTCTAGTAGACTTAGTTAGTAAACGTTTCTCCTGTGTTCTGATAATAGCCTTAGCTGTTGGGGAGGGTGTGAGTCATCAGCTTCCTTTTCTTCATTGGCATAACATTACAGATTGACGGAGCCAGGATGGAATCTTGGTTACCCATATGGAACAAAGTAAGATTAGATCCCTATTTCACGTCAAACGTAAACATATTTCAGATGGATTAAAGACATGAATGTGAAAAGAAAAACTTTAAAACATCTAGAATGAAATATAGGAGAGTATCTGTATGACCCTGCATGGAAAAATGCTTTTTTAAACAAGACATAAAGAACAAACCATAAAGGAAAATATTAATAAATTGACTGTGCATCAGAGGATACCTTTCAAAAAGTGAAAAGACAAACCATGGATTGGGAGAAAATATTCACGGTACCTATTACCAACAAAGAATTGGTATCCAGAATGTATCAGGGAACACCTCGAAATCAATAAGAAAAAGGGGAAACAAGCCAATCGCAAAGTGAGCAAAGGATTTGAATAGGGAAGCCACTGAAGAGAAATCCCAAAGTCCAATAAACATTTGAAACGATGCTCAGTCTCATTAGTAACAAGGAAAATGCAAAGTAG